TTATTGCTCAAAGAGAATTGCCGGCTTATGTGATCCTGTTCAAGGCAGGATGTTAACCCAATAGTCGCCATTTTAAAGTTACGTGCAAAAATATAGTTCTTACTCTCAACCGCTTTTGAGATAATACAAACGCTAAATAAAGCAACAAAAATAAAACGAAGTTTTATCTATATAAAATAAACATTTGTAGTAATGACTTTGAAAACTTCATAAGTCAAAGAACATAGTTCATTAGCGTAATATTTTTGATAATCAGTGTTACCGTAGTTCTCTACACATAAGAGGTAAAGCAGGAGAGGGAACCAGACTGGCCTGTTTGTTTACATTCGGTACCAGATTAATTCTGATTCTGACAAAATCGGACCGTGGTATTAGGATTGAAAAACTCACTGTCAGTGTCTTATCATTTATATTGATAGTTTTAAAATAATTTTTTCATCAGAATATAAAGGTGATTCATGTAAGAAATCCTTTCTACTCTGTAAATGAACCCGACTCTCTGTACGTCTGAGTACTTTGATTTTTCCTCGTTTACATATTAAGTGTTAATTGACGTGGACCACCAGTGCACAAGTACTTTATTTTACGTTGTATCTAAGATCGAAACATGGAAAGACGGTGAATATTTTGAAAGATCATTATAATATGAAGATTAGAAAGTTTAAGAGAAAGCCTAGGTTTTCTTCGGAATAGAAATGAAGTGAAAGACAGTTATTTGCAGAATGTGAGGACGAATTGTACTTATAACGTGACGTCATATATAACTTGACGTTACTTCGAAATCTCCCTCTGCTTTTACAATTTTCCACAAATACCTTATGACCATTATGATATTTTGAAAGAAGTGAAATCTCCAGTATTGTTGCATATCGGCTCTATTAAATAAAAAACAATGAAGCGCATTGAAGTGGTAAAACTTACCGTTGGGATGAAACGTTCCGCGTCATGTTTAGAACGTCAATTATAACATAACGACAAGCCCATTTCTTTAGAAACGAAAACGAAATATTTGTCGTATTGTTTATAGCACCCCATACATTCAGGTTGAGTAACTATGAAGCGAATTAAATTGGTGAAATTTTCCGTTTGACTGGAACGTTTTGAGCTAATTTTAGAACAATGATTGTCATACAATGGCACGCCCCTTTCTTTAAAAAGAAAAAAAAAATCGGTCAAATGGTTCGTTCGAATACCTGTGTAACATTCTCTAGTATTCGATAAATATAATAGCCATCAAACTGACAGTCCATATCAACACCGAGTAAGCACTTGTGCGACCGATACATGTGTTATGTTAACTCCAATAAACATGATAAATTACTAATTACTTAAAAATTCATTGAAACAAGCGTTTTACAGAAGCGAGAACTCTGTAACACTCTCTCTTATAACTTAAAAAATCCTAACTTCATTATAACTCATGTTGCTTGTCACGAATAGTGAAGTGTCTTTAAACATTACGATGAATATTTTTTTTTCGTTTCTAAAGAAATTGACGTGTCATAATGTTACAATTGACGTACAAAACATGACAAGAACGTTTCATCCAAACGAAAAAGTTTACCACTTCACTACGTTCGATTCTGATATTTAAAGTCTTAATTTTTTTTTGGCAAGTATTTTTTTTTTTGTTTCTTTATACAAAGCTTAATTAAAATTCAAATAAAAAATGGGGGTCTATGTGCTTCTTTTGGCGCTACAGTACAATGAATATGACCTTTTTGCACTGAAATTTGTATCTTAATAAATAATTAAATTTTCGACATTTTCCCTCAGATACTTTTATCCAAATAAATCATGAAAGAAAATGAACTCTAAGTCTGTTTAAAAAAAGACACTTTAAAATTGTGACTAAGAAAAAATTTCATATTCCTTTGCATAATCAATTATTTGACCTTTTTATGCTAATAAAATGTGATTTTTCTGGCATTGAAAATATAATGAGCAGGGAAATTTTTTTAAAGTCTTAAACTTTTTTTGATTTTAAGCAAATGGGTCAAAGTTATCTTTGAACATCAAAAGTAGGGATATATGATGTAATTTTTCATATATTACTAAAAAAGTGTCAATTTAACGTTAATAATGGCTCAATTTCTTCCTAGATTTTCAGAATATGTTTACTATATTTGTCTCACTTTGTTGGTAGAATTCATAAGAAATAATTGAATATATATTTCAGAATCAGCATAACAAATTCCACTTCAAGAAACAGCTTTGTGTGTAACCAGCATGGAAAAAAAAGGAATCCAAAATTAACAGTACTGTTTTAGTTCAAAAGGGAAAAACTGATAATTTTTGTCTAAAAAATCCTTCCGTCACAAGATAGTGTCCCTAGCATAATTTTACTTCAATGGAATTTAATGGCGTTTTTTTCATTGAATATAGTTCAATTTGCATTGTAAAATTCAGATTTAATGTTAGAACTTTAAAAGGATGTAGAATTTTATAAATAAAGTACATGACCAAAATCCACTCAAAATCTCAGGATGCGTTTCATTGCATATCTAATGCTTGCTTTTATCAAGCTAATAAAGTACATGACCAAAATCCACTCAAAATCTCAGGATGCGTTTCATTGCATATCTAATGCTTGCTTTTATCAAGCTACGATAACAGTTTTGAATGAAATTCCATGAAATTCTGGATAGACCCTCGTATTATGGATTTCCCATTACAAAACATGAATATTGCTATTTTGTCAAAATTATTTACATTCTATTGTATTTTGCGTATACAAAACACCATAACACGGACAGGGGGTCAAAAGTTTCAAATATAGGTTTCCCTTTGATGTCACATCGGAATAATATGTCATGAAATTTGAAATAAATGTCCTTTAGCTTTTATTGTAATGATAATCGCTATGTCTTTCTACAACCCTACTATTTACGTATTTAGACTTCCACTGAAAACTCCCTCAATGAAGTCAAATACTGCCTTCTTACCGGTAGTCAACATGCAAAAATGGTTTGTTACCATGCAGAGGATTCTTACTCCTCCATGGCACCTGATCCAATCTTTGATGTTTCGGAGGTCCATGTTTGCTCTGTTCTAATTTTTTTATTGTTTTTTAGACTTTGAGATTGAATACTGTTCGTTATCTCCATATCCTTCTTACTTCTTAGTCATCCGCAGTTAAAAAAAATGCTACTTCTTGCTTTTATCTATGTTTTTTTTTTTATATTTGTATAAATTATACATATATTTTAATGGGCTTCTGGGACAACTGGCATTTTATGGCACAAATTGGTTATCACCATAATAAAATAGCCATCCATATGCTTAATTAGCTAATACTTATATAATATCAATGCCATTTGCATGCTGTTATGTAGTGTTATTTAAATGTAATATTTATGAAAACTCAATTCTCTTGAGGAGGTTTGATACATTTGCTTACTAAGATGTATTAAATCCTTTTAGTGTGTTGTGAATTAATATTTTTTTAAAATACGAATGACGTAAACAGGTCATTTTCAAACTCACCACATGGTTAAGCACAACATTTAAAACATTGAAAATTGTTTGGTAGCTGACTTAAAATTTCGTTAAATGCCTAAACTTATCTTATATTAATGCTAACCAATAACTTGTGACTTCATGCGTGCATCTTTATGGAAATAGAACTGTACAACTTAGAAGACATTTTTCTTTTCAGTATTAAATAATTCAGAGGTGAAAAAGAATCAAATAGACTAGAAACGATCTCGTTGCTCAAAACGAGACGTCTTCCATCCGATTCTGGAAAATAATCCCGTAAAATCAACCTGAAAAGTGTTTAAAAAGGTTGACGCATGGGTGATTGAACCTGGGTGACCAGCGTGAATATCCAACAAGCTATCCATTACGCAATTTCGAGCTCTGCTTTAAATTTACTTGTGTATACTTCTACAATTGAACATCTGTCTGAGAATTATCTAAAGGCGGGTCACTATTCATAATTTTGCGCCAAATGCCGTGAGTAAATATCCGCGTCCTTTCCCTGGAGTCTTCTATTAAATAGGTAAATCTGCTTCAATGAAATTTTAAAAAAAAATATAACGTTCTTATCGCCTATATCTTATTTTGAGTTTTAGAAAGTATATTTAACACATTGAACACATTAAATATCGTGTCTAGCCAAGTTAGACTAAAGCAGAAACTCCCAAAATGAATTGTTTGTTTAATTAAAGTTGCATTAAAATGAATGTGTGTTTCAGAACTACCGATATGTGTTAATTTGTGTCCTTTTCTTTCGCAGTCACTTTCAGTCAATCTTGAAAACTATAACGGCTCTGAATGTCAATTGGCGTTAAATGCTGAAATCATATATGTAGACACACTTCAAATTCAAGATTTCTTAAAACACAAGATACACTTACTGGCATTGTTACAATCCTTTACTAAATTCGGATCTAACTTTCATGAGGTTTTCTTAATGATTGACTTCACTTTGATATCGTTCTCACCTCTTGTTCATTTTATTTTTAGGAGGGGTCAGGAATTAGCTCTCTATTATCTTTACATCATAATTTAGTTCAAACTCTTAAAAATCTTACACCATTCTTATTAATATATGAAAACTAGACAGCAATTTCTAGTCTGATATTCTTCCTCATAACACCCTGATTCACACAATTTGTGCGGTAAAAAAAACTACATTTCGAAAACTAAATGCAACCTGTTCTGGATTGATCCAAACAGCTCAAAGAGAATTAGGTTGCTCGGTGGGGACCGGCACCTCATCTTACCTCTGGTATTTCTTAAGATTTGTATTTTTTCTATCTTCACAGCTTTTGTACATGTTGAAAATTATTTTTGTAAGATCGACCACCTTCTTTTTCTTTAACTTTTATGAATAAAGACTCTCTGCGTCCAGACCCACGACATATATACTGATCAACTCCTTACTCGGCAAATCAAAAAAATATGCTTTTTCAAAAGTACATATACAAGGGGACCGACAAAATTTAAGTAAAATAAAATCTTAGATTACTCCCCTCTCACTGCTTTATTTCATTCTATCCCAGCAAGTTGTTTGACAGAGTCACTAATTTTATATCTAGAAAAGGAAAGAAAAATGAGTTAGAAACAGGAAAGTTATATAATGATTTTCTGTCTAATAGCTCCTTTGTAAATATTGTACCTTGACATGATTGAGTGTTGCATGCCTCTGTTTGAACTGATTGACCGGGACATTGAAGCCCTCCATAAGAAGGAAGAGGGTCGTCACATCCTCTCATTCTGATATGAATTCCCCCACCACATGGCATGTCACATGGCCGGAAGTGACCCCATTGACCCCAATTACCGTTCACTATAATTGTTGACCATTTATTTGTATTACAATGTTAAAACGAGCCAAAATAATAATTACAATTAAAGATGGAAAAGTATATAAAAAAAAAGAAAGCAAGCAATAAATATGAAAATAAATAACAATGACAATTTTTTTCAGGGAGGGAAAAAGAAAACCTGGACAATGCCTGAGGTTGCACGGCTGACTCTCCTTAAAACTTCCTGAACAGTTGTTACCTCCATATTCAGGTGCAGGATTAGAACAGTTTCTAATCCTTATCTGAATACCAGCCCCACAACTACTACTACACTGTCCATATCCTGACCAAGCTGACCATTGTCCATCAACTACAAATCAGTAGAACATGTTCAAGTTAGTACTATAATCATGAATGTACCGCAGCCTTTTCCAACTTTTGTTTAGGTAAAATTGTGTCCGTCCCTTGTGACATCTCAGAACTGTTGTATTATATACTCACATAAATTCTTTTTGCCAATTTAATGTTTTAATACGCATAGTTTGCAACTTAAAATCAACTTAAAATCTACCTATAAAAGAAATATATGTACTTAGTATGTTTATATTCTTTTAAAAATCTTTGATAGTGGTCTATATTTATACCAGGGCAATGAAACGTGTTGCACCGGACTGCTTCCAATGAATCACCGATGCAAGAAAGACCACCATATGCCGGTTGAGGATTACTGCACTTCCTGAATCTGACTTTCCAGCCGTTTCCGCACGTTTTATCACAGGGACTGTAGTTACCCCATGAACTCCACGATCCGTTTACTGGAAACAAGATAAAACCAAAATAAACATGTTAAAATTTAATTTAGCGTTATTCTAGCATAATTCTTTTCTTCTTTTACCTGGACAAGGGCCTGGATGACAGGTCCTTGATTGTGATGACGAACCAGAACATGATCCGTCACAGCTCCTATGCCTTTGTTGGGAACCGTTACCACAGGTTACACTACAAGTCGTCCATTCTCCCCAAGACAAAAAGGTATTACTGTAATGATGTGAACTTCCACCAGAATATGCTAGAATATTGAAAGAAAATAATAGGAATTCGAATCAGAAATATTATAACTGACGAAAACTTGTAAAAACCAGTAAAATACATAATACAAAAGCAACCTATATGCCTAAGATATACATGTATATATTGAATAACTTTAGGTTTGTCTTTTTACTTTCTCAGCGTATCGAAACATTGCTTTTAAAATCAATATTTTTACACAATTGTGATACGTTTCAGATCATTCATTACTGAAAAATGTACCTATTGATTTCATACAAACAAGGTTAGATAATCCTCTCATGCTCTCATTTTTATTGCTTTAGATATAAAAATGATAGCTCTAATAAAAAAGTCTAATTGTAAATGTAATTGACATGATAAAGAAAACTTAAATGGCAATTTTATGCTGGCTTATCTTTTTTAACAGTGTCAAAACTTGAAAGCTCTATTTCTTGTGAACATATGTAAAATTCAGATTATGTTTTATATTTATAATTTTTAAGTCCATAAAGAATTGTGTGAAGAAGTTGTTTTTTAGTTTATATAATTTTAAAATTGTTGTTAGGGGGTTCCATTCATTTGAGACTGTTTTGTAGCGAGTATATTAAGGGACCGGTTTTGTCAGAGTGGTCAGATCTAGTTTGGTGTCCGGTAGCGTGACTAGCCGGAGGTATGCCACGAATGTTGTTTTCCCTCGCATGATGTATACAAGTGGCGAATATTTTCGACGATAATAATATTAACGGGTAGCCATAGAACTTGTCGGGCGGGTTATATATTGCAGCGCTTCTATGCCTTTCTAGCGGTAAGAATGCTTGAATAAAATATTTGTTGGTTTGTTGTTTATTTTTCCGGTCTCAGTTGTATATTAGGTTAGGTTTTTGTAACTATAAATTAATTTCAGTGCGTAACAGGTTTGGAGCCAATTTATAGACTAGTGTACGTGCGTGTTGACGAGCGCTATAGATTTGAGTCTTATTGACGAGTATTGTATGAAGGGCCACGTTCTTCATATCCAAATGTCTACACTGTTGATGGTGTAGTAGGACAACCGGAGTGGGAGGCTAAGACCTGGAGCACTGCAGTTAAGTAACTGCCGTTTGAAGACCACGGAACTTGATGGGACCTAGATGGATTTGTATGGGTTGACGTCAATTTGTGAATTACAGCTTATAGTAACTTCAGGGTCATAAAAAACCTATTTCATTTGAATTATGATTTTATCCTTATTAAAATTTCATTGAGTTTTTTCGAAATATATATTTAAATGACAAAATTTAGTAAATTTCTCATTCGATTTAAAATCTGATACTTATTGAGTCAGCCTTGCAGGATGTTATTGTAAACTATATTATGAAAAGTATCAGAATCGGTTAAAACTGAATCAACAGTTTATATTTATTTTGTTTACGGTGTATGAGCCTGTATGTGGAAGTGAGTGTTATGAAATTAATTTGTTTTCTATTTTTTTTTTATTTGTGTTTATAAACTTATTTGTTTATTCTGGTTGATATTTTGTTCTATCTCAATTCGACAAAATCCAAAAAAGACCACATGACATACAGTTCAGTATTGTTCATTGAGAATTTCCGATATCACATGTAACTAACCGTGTATTTTCATAACCTTAACACAGCTAGTAACTGAGAACAATCCCAAACTCCTCTTGATATATATTTTTACTTTTCTATAAATAAAAAAAATGTATTTTGTTAACCTCGTAAAATTTTACCACTTCAAAATCGCTGTTGAGCATTTTTTTATCTTCTCTGTTGTAAACACATCCTAAGTATGGTTTTATCAGTTGTATATCAATTTCAAACAAATTGTTCATTTGCCAGGCTGAAGCTAGCAAGCCAATAACAACAGCCACTAAGCCCGTAGAAGCTAGCAGCCAATAAGGAAATTCATCAAAGAACTAAGAGTACTCGGACGCAGTACTGTTTTTAATACTTTATCTAAGATAATAAAAGAAAAACAATGGTGAACCGGCGTCAGTTATCTTATCTTGCACCGCAAGGGGTCGCCACAGGCAAATGCGGTCCAACACAAACACTGCTAAGCATGGCAGCAATGGCTTATCGGCGATTATTCTACAGATCACTTTCGAAGAAACCAGACGTATCAAAAACATTTTTTACCCACTATGGCATCAAATTTTGGTGCTATGACAATACCTGAGCTAAAAAGAGAGTTGGAAAAACTTGGTGCGAAAAAAAGCAGTTGAAAATGGGAGCTTGTTGAGAGGTAAATAAATGTCATTGTAAACAGCTGATTGATCTTTTTAAAGTCTTGTGTTACCTTATATAAACATTTAAATGATATATTATATCATCGATCTTTGTTTAAATAGCCTTAGAAAACCCCAGTTAATTGAAATGTATATTGGAAAAATATAAAATGATCGTTTTTATTGCTCGTATGTTTTTCCCGAATTTCCTCAATGATTGTCATTTAAGTGGTTCTTGGTTTCCCGTGAGTGTTGGTCTCATATAATTTACAACTTCATGAAAATATTTCATATATTGTTATATTATTTAAGAATATTAATCAATTTAACCATGGTAATTCTTTTATTTTACAGACTTGAAGCTTACAAAAGAAATGCCCACTGTGCAAAGACTGACGTTTCCGGACCCGAGTTCCTCACGATGACCCCAGATCCACAGCTTTATAAAGACATACATGGTGGCCAGGCATTTCCAGGATGTACTGACTCAGATATTTCTGCCTTCTTACTAAAGTTTAACAAGACAATGGACAAAAAAGCTAAAGACATGTATAACTATGGTTTCATCCAATATGTGAACGTAGTATTCCATGATTTACACTGGTTTATCAGAAGTTCAGTGAAAGCCTCTATGATGAAATCAGTCAAGTACATTGTTGATGTCATGATAGGTCAGGACAAGAGTGTTGTTGAATCCCAATGTGAATGTGCTGCAGGCATGGGCCCAGATGCACATTGTAAACATGTGTGTGCTGTTTTGTTTGCATGCTCAGATTTTTTGAAGCGTGGAAGTGTTAAAACAGAACTAACCTGTACACAGACTATTCAAACTTTCCACCGAGCAAAACCGCACAAAGGAAGCCCACTGAAAGCACGGTTCATGAACATGCCTGGCTGCGATGAAATTTGCAACAGCGAATATGACCCTCGTCCATTAAAATATCAAAATAACCGTGGTTACTCTTCAAATTTTAGAAGTATGTGTTTGAATTTCCCAGGCATCAGCAGCACCCCAATATTTCAGTTATATGAGCCTGCAAACATGAGGGCACTTGACCTGGACCATGATTACCTCAAGGACACATTTAGTGAGAGACATTTAAAATTGATAAATGTGTCAGAAATTTCTGAAGAGTCTGCAAGGCAGGTAATGGTAAAGACGGCAACCCAAGCAGCTAATGATTTGTGGTTTGAAGAGCGGTGTAAGCGCCTACATTCATCTATGTATGGAAGAATATGTAAAGCGACAGACAGGACAGACAAAGCAAAACTGGCTCAGCGACTCACAGAAAAGGGACAAAGACTTAACACAAAGCCTATACTTCACGGCCGAAAATATGAAAAATCTGCGTTGAAAAAATACCAGGAAATTACTGGAAATACTGTTTATGACAGTGGAATATGTGTGTGTCTTGACTCGCCATACTTAGCAGCATCCCCTGATGGCATTATTGATGAAGAGACTTTGGTGGAGGTGAAATGTCCATATGTAGCGAGAAATAATTTCATTTCTACTAAAACCGTGCCATACATTAGACAATCGGGGACCAGATTCTATCTTGATGAAAAGCACGATTACTACCAGGTTCAGGGACAACTTCTTTGTGCTCAGAAACAGAAATGCATATTCGTTGTGTACACCTTTAATGATATTTTGTTCTTTCCTATCAAAAGAAATGACAAATTTGTTAATGACATGAAAGAAAAGTTAGATGAGTTTTACGAAACTTACTTCAAATCTGCCTTGCTTGAAAAAATGTTTTACAAAACATACGAAGGTGTTTGTAATTGCAATAAGTAAATAAAAGTTTAAACTATATAACAATCTTTTTATTCAGTGTTATATATCTGATTGATTATGCATATGATGGCACAATGCAATTCTTAAAGTTACACAACATGAAACAAATGTATATAATTTCAGACGACAGTTTTGATTCTGAACCATTCATTGGTTCACTTAATATTTTATATGTCTTTGCAAGTCCAATAATTCTCTCTATATGTACACGTTTACTAGATATTTTTCTATCTTTTATAACAGTTTCACAGGACATCCTATTTTTCTTTTTAAAAAATGTTGGCATGTTAATTTGTATGTTCTTATGTACAAACATATCCTGAACATTAAAACCTTTGTCTGCCATAATTGAATCACCCGAACTGCACATATCTATCAGACAACTCCTTTCCACAATTTGACGATCACTTGTAGATCCTCCATAGGCTGTAGAGATGTAGGATGTCAAACCGCCTGGTGTTGCTCCAACAAGAACCTTCACAGTGTTTCGGTTTTTGTATGTAGAAAAAGTTGCTTGCTGAGATTTAGGTTGTTTTGGTTTCTTAATGGGACATTCAGTACCATCAATAATTACTCTTGTATTTGGGAATTTCATTTTAAAATCCGACGAGCAAAAATATTTAACAATATCTCTTGAAGGCCACAAATCAATTTCACGCCACTGCTTATTCATAAATAGAATCCAGGTGAAAATATATTTGAGACTGTTTTTTCAGACACGCCAAAAAGTCTTGACAATTCAAAATTTGTAGTGTGGCGGCGTAATTTACAAAGTACAAGGAAAAACTGATCAGGAATACTTATGTTTGAAACTTTATGATAAACATAATTCAAACAAAAGGCAGCTGGGCCTAGAGTTCTCAAAACAAAGTAAAATTTCTGTAGTGTTTCCAGGCCAGTATAGAAATGGACACCAGCATCATCATTTGTAAAATTGTCTATGCTCATTGGAGGATATTTAGGTGTTTGGGTCTCCACATTTTGATAA